CGCATATTCGGCTATCTTTAAACGTTAATATCTCGTTAACTATTGCGAGCATTGCAAAATGGTAGAGGACTTTTCGACTCAGTTTAGTCCGCTCTACTTGCTCAAGACGGGTGGGGCCAAAATTTGGCGCCACCCTGTATATATAAGATCACACGTGCCAAATTTAACTTTATTTCAGCAATAATATTGCGACACAGCGTAACGTTGGCAAGTACATTATTTTGCTTCACATTTATATAATTTATTTATTCCATGTATTCTAACATATTTTTAAACACCCAGAAGAACGGAAATTGAATCCGTTATGAATAATAATTTTAATTAGTAATATATGCATACCGTACCTATCGGATATGCAATCGTTATTATAAAGCGGTATAATAAGAGAAAAGAGATAGGAGTCGAAATCATCCGTTACGAAAGAGTGTATAAACGCTTTACGAGCGAGATGCACCGTAATATGTAAAGTATTAAAAAGGTTTGCCAACTGTCTTCTGACCAAACTTTATTCAACGATAATAAAGGCAAGCTTATAGACTAAATCGGAGATGCGTTATTACACTGAAAAAAAAATATAGTCAATTTTAATAAATATTTAGTTCAATACTGCCAACTAAATATTTACTTACAGTAAATAAATATTTGTTCAGTAAAAAAAAAAGATTGTTAAATCAAGTTAATATTTCTTATATCAAATAAATATATCTTTATATTTAATACATATTTAGTTGGCAGTATTCAACTAAATATTTATTAAAAATGACTATACTTTTTTTCAGTGTAGCAACTTATGAGAATAAGCTGACTCGATCTGAACTAGAAGAATCTTCACTACGATAAAAGAAGTGGAGATTTCGATAAATTTTAACCAATAACGTGACATTTTCGAATACCAAAAATATACGCGATGGGGATGAAAGAAACTGAGATATGTGCGTGTCGATGACTCACGAATCCGTTTAGGGATGAGTCATAAGATATCTGTAAGACTGAATATTCAAGACGGGTCTTAAAGGTAGATAAAAAGGACTAAAAAAAAAACGATAGGTGAAAGTAGATAAGTAGCAGGAATCAAGATTTATCAAGAATGTTTAGGAAAAAAATGTGTAGAAAAACTTTATGTTAAAAACGTGACGTTAACAAGAGAGAGAGAATGACGTGGCACGTAACAGCGTGCCTTGCCAAACGATTTGCGAGCGGTATGGTCTAACGTAAGTAAAGGAATTACCAGGGACTATGCTCCAAAATTGACTGCCTGTACTGAAAATCTATAGTGCACGTAATATAAACTGTCACATTTTCAGTGCTGGCAGTAAATGTGACTACGTATTCGGACTTTATGCAGACTTTAAAAGGAAGGAAACGAGCACTGGGACAAAATCAAATCATTAGCCTTGAGATATCTCCGACGAGAGTCGCGAAGTGTATCTGTCTCCTGGACGAGCAGACGAGCTAACAAAATATTTGTTATCTCATCGTGTAATATTGACATAATGTGATATTATCTTACGGTGTAATATTACTATATTATATTCATCATAAGATATAAAACCGCATTTTTTTCTCTCCCGCTTAAATCACATCATGGAGAAAAGGGTAAAGATTCACGACTTGAGAAAGAACAGACGAAAGAAACGAACAGTAGTTTTGACAAAAAGAAATCGTCATGATAAGGACAAAAAATGCAATGGATGCTATATTTTCCGATCCTCGATCTCCTCATGTTCGACGTCGCGCTACGTGCGGATAATTGCCGGCGACTTACTGAACTGACGTGCGTGAGTTCACAATGCGACTCGAATTTATGTAACCGTTGCGGCTTGAACATCGCCATGGTGGATACATCGTAAAAGCGATCACGATTCAAAAACAAAATCGGAAAAAAACAAAGTTGTATTAGCGTTTCAAGGTTTCTGTTTATTAACATCTAAAAGTTCATCATTCACAGATTAAAAAAAATCAAAGACTTTATTTTTGAAAAATTCAACAAATTTAAACAACTTTTTTCTTTTTAGAGTTCGGCTCTTATAGGCATTATAATTCTTTGATTTATTCTGTGGAGCCTGTCAATTCTTTTTATTGTACTTTTTTTTAAACAAGAAATTAATTTTATTCTTTTATTTTATGAAGTAAAATACATAAAAATAATCATTCAGATATTAAGAAATAAAAACTTTACAAATAAGTGTATTATTTTGATATTAAATATTGCCAAAATAAAATTTATTATTTTAATATATCACTTAAAATTAGTATCACTTAATACATAAACAAAACAAGAGCTTCATGTCATTACATTTATTTTTATATATTGTAAAAAAATATTTAAATTTCTTACAGATATACATATGTTACAAATTTGTGTTTTATATACATGCAGATTTAGTGTGTGTGTGTGTGTGCGCGCGCGCGCGCACATACACACATACATATATACATTCTAAATCTGTAGCAATGAAAATTTTACTGCTAACAAAAGTGAGTAGCAAAGTCATTGCTTTATGGATTTTCACTGCTTTGAAGTTAGTCTGTCTACTCTTACATAAAGGAGTAGACTATTTCATTCGATTAATTCAAGTGGTTTAAGCATTAGTTGATAATGCATTACAAGATGCATTGAATGTTACTGCAAGGAGTGAATTTAGCAACAT